CCAAGTAGGTCGAAGCGGAACCCTTGGCCAGCATTACAGGGGTCAGGTGCCAGAAGTTCGTCCGCACGAACATCCTCACCTGTTTCGGCGTTCCCCAGGAGATTATATCTGACAACGGCACCCAGTTTGAGACCGCACCCTTCCAAGAGCTCCTCCAAGAATGGGGAATCAAAAATCATTTCTCCTCCGTTGCCTACCCCCAAGGTAACGGGCAAGTTGAGAATGCCAACAGAACCATTCTGGAGGCCCTGATGAAGAAGCACCAGGACGCAGGAGGCAGCTGTGCTGATGAGCTCCCCAACATTCTGTGGTTCTACCGTACTACACCGAGGAGGGCGACAGGCGAAACACCCTTTGCCCTATGCTACGGCTTCGAGGCGAAGGCACCCACAAAGGTCACCATTCCCAGCCGACAGGTGGAGCAATATGAGCCTGAGGCCAATGAAGAGAACATGAAGATCGACCTCCACCTGATCGAAGAAAGACGAGAACAAGCCTACATCCGAGCAGAGAAGTACCGGCGTCAAGTAAAATCATACTATGACGCCAAGGTACGTTCCCGGGAGTTCCAAGTGGGGTATTATGTCCTCCGCCGAAGGGAGGCGAGCAAGCCGACGGAAGGTGGCAAGCTGGCACTCAAGTACGAAGGCCCCTACATCGTCAGTGCCGTAGTGAAACCCGACACCTACAAACTTAAACACCCAAATGGGTCTAATGTGCCACGAGCCTCGAGCCATGGGTTAAACACCCATTTGGTGAAATTCTATCAATGATCTGAGGAGGGTGAAGCCGGCAAAGCCCTCACCCTCCCATGGGTTATTGATCGATTATCACCCTCGGCCTCGAGCCACTTATCAATAAAAGTTGTATTCTACTTGCTTTTTTATAAAAAGTTAAAGGAAAAGATACCATATTACATCGACCTCTTAGAGCGAGACACTTAGGTAAGGCCGACAGAGCACATCGTATCGATCCCTTAGAGCGAGACGCTCAGGTAAGGCTGACAATGTCCCCAGGACGAGGGGCCCGCAAACGGCCCACGTCTTGAAATGGGAAGTTCACCGCGTCATTCACGCGCTAAATCGCAGGACGACAAGTCTGAAATCATGGTCGAGGTGACAAAAATCCCCAAACTCGAGGTTGAGGAACGACAGCCATTGGTAACCGACCAAAAGGCTTAGCCCGCGTCATAAATAGGCGACGGGACCTCCCCGAGATTATAGGACGATCCAGTAGGACTCCTTACCGGCCAAGGGAACAGCAACCCCCTTGACCGAAGCCTGATGTTTTTAAAGCTTTTTGGACTTGTATCTAACGTTTTTTGGACATCCCTTGTGATAAACTAGTTCTGGGGTTTTGTGGTTGATTTGTTCAATCTGGATAGTTTGGACAACTCTATTGGGGTGCTTTTTACCCCAACTAACAATGCACTTGTTTATTTGGTATTCTTGTTTGACATGTTTTATGTGTTAATTTGTTCATTGTATTGATATCTTTTAATTTAGCTTTTGCTTGCGTATAAAAAATATATATCGTGCCAAAATTTTGAATTGAAACCCCATCTGGGGTCTGTTGTGACGACAATATCCGAGCCAAGTTGGCACGGAAATTATCCGAGACAAAAACAATGAGAATATATGGACTAAATGGCCATGCAAAAGCCGAGCTAAAGACCGTGCCAATTTTGGAACGGATTAAAAATTCCATGCCAAATCATTTGGCTCGAGCTGGGTGGCTGGGAAAATTATTCCGTGCCAAAACCGAGCCAAACCCGTTAGTCTGGGCATATTATGAAGGATTCTGAGTCAAATTCCTTGCCTATAGCGAATTTTTTTTGTAGTGAGTCTAGGAGAGCACTGATTCGAACCATACATGCATGTCTGAGGAGAAGAAACCCAAGACGTTGTGCTTCATAGATACGGAAGGTCTATTTTTGAAAAGAAACTTTGAGCTCATCTATATTTGAAAGAAACTTTTAGAGGTGATAAAAGTGATATTACTTTCAATTTTTAGTCTAGTTGTGAAAAAATGCCTTTATTTTTATCATTTGGGTTACTAAATTTTGGGGCTCATTTGTAACCTTTCGCCATTTCAATTTTGGACTTCGGAGTTTAGCTATCCTTTGAAAATAAAACTTTGGAATTACATTTCGGGGGATGTATTGTATTAGGGATTAGTGGCAAAAATTTAGAAGTCCATGGATTTTAAAAGTTAGATGTATTCAACGTGGACTTTTAAAAGTCTATAAAAGTCTAGGCGTATTCAATTTTCCATTCATTCTTATGGACTTTTAAAATCACGGATTCTTGTTGACTTTAACTCATTTTTAGTACATTAATTTTCTGCAATTGTCTCTTCTTTTCACCAAAGATTTATGTGGACATTTATATTCGTCTTCTACCTATCACAAGTACGCATAAATCTGATTGCAGATTTAGCTAATTATTTAGCCGAGATCACAAACCGGCCAATAAGTCCTTGTCTAGTACCGGCCGGGACAGAGGGTGGGTACTAGGACATCTCAGTATGCAAGATCTGAACATTAAATTTTATTTTTTTTTCTTTTTACAATAAATAAAGTTGAACAAGGAGTTTGTACATTAGTATTGATACACAAGATAAACTTATATTTTCGATTTTAAAAAAATTAATAAAAAGATAAGTTAAGTTCAGGAACTGTTAATATTAAAAATGTAATTAAGTTTCTAAAACATACGTAGTGGCATTTTACCAAAGTATGATCATATGTTTGATTTTTCTTAAATAGGACTAAATATTACATTTCTACCTCTAATATAATTAATTAATATAATTAAGTTCCCATATTTCCCTTGCATAACCAAAGTCATTTTGTTGACGGCGAACTCAAGTGACGGAGGCGGACAGGCAAATCGGTAGCGGCAATCTAGGTGAAATTCTGACAACTGGCAGTGGCAGTCCAGATTTAAAAGTCTATGGACTTTTTAAAAATCTATAAACTTATCCATGGATTTAAAAGTCAATAGAATTCATTCATAAAAAAATCTATGGATTTAAAAGTCCTTAGACTTTTTTAGAAGTTCATGAATTAAAAAAAGCCCAACACAATCCATATTCAATACACACCTCTTCATACTTTGGACCATAAGACTTTAGAGTTCATTTTTCATTTGGGCTGTGAAACTTTGGAGTAGAATTTTAATCTTCGGATTCCAAACTTTGGATTCACTTTTATATATAGAGGGGCTGGGAAGAAATATAAGCTGAATTACATGAACAAATTAAATAAGCTGAGTTACGGCAGTGATGGACCTAGAACTTTTCTCAAGTGGGAGCACTACTATATGGACGGAGTCGGGTCGGGTGTGAGACTAATCTATTCAATGTGTAAACATATTTTCTAAACAAAAACACATTATTCAATTTCAGTTTCAAATCATTTACATCTATGTACAACAGGTCTACTTTTAAACCCATTAAAACAATTCTAAATAATAATATTCAATTTCTTGAAAGAAAAACATAATACTTTATATGAATAAGAACTGAATCATCCTAACGCCAATTCTGGTTTTGAATTAGCATTCAAGTTGTTTTTGTATTACAAACGGTCAGAATTTTGAATTCAAACTAGGATAGTGTCCAACGTTACACGTCGTGCCACAAAATTATAGTATCCAAAATTCCTGTTGGAAAAATGTGTTAAAAATCCATTAAATGATCATTTTGGGGCAATTATTTGAGTGGGGTCCACTTCCGATTTGGGTCGGGTCAAAGTGGTTTCGGGTTTCCCTTGTTAAGGACTACAATTCGATATGTGGTACACTCAAAACGGATAACGGGTGAATGAGAAATTGATTCTCGAAGTTCACTCGTTGAAATGGAAAAACTGGGAAAATGATGGGTTTCTAGTGTGTTTTATCCCACATCAGAAAACTCAAGGGATTTTCACCCCCTTATAAAGGAAAGCCTTTTTGAAGGAGTTAAGATTCCTAAAGGTAAAGGCTCTCTCTTACGCGCAAGGGGGGTGCCGATCAAATCCCGAAACGGAGAAGAAAAACCGCGACTCGTGTGCGCGGGCGACCTGCGGACACGAATGTCGTCCGAAAATCTATCATTCAACAGAGACGCTCGAGGCCTTCTGTTCGGAACAGAAGGTCTTCTGTTCCCAACGTTCTTCTCTTTTAATGCTGCGTTAAATGGACAGTTTATGGACGATTCAATGCCCAACGGACTGGTCATTGATGTCCAACGTTCAGGTCCATTAACACCACATTTAACACACAACAAATCCTCCTATAAATAGCTGGCAGGTGGTTTGCAACAAGACACAACACACAATACATTCCTCACGTTTTCTTGAGCTAAAAACATTTCCAGCTACTCTGCAAATTCCTTCTGTGTTCATACTTGGTTCTCGTTCGCTGGAACTCTTGTTTGTGTGCTGAAACATTAGTTCGTAGTCATCGTATCCTGGGAAACGATTGTTGCAACGCTCCTAGCACCGTGGGAGGCAACAAATACGTTTTAAGGACATCGTGCGTAGCACGAGCTTTGACTAATTCTGCTTCATCTCCTTTCTTGTTTTTCTCTAGTCATTTTATTTAATTAATTTATTTTAATTAATTTCCTTTATTTTCCGAAACACACCCAACAATTCCTTCATCAACTTGGGATTAAATTGTGAACCCTAACATGTAACTCCCGGCCGAGCTAAACTACTTTAATTTCTTGATTTAATCATTCCCTGTTTGTTACTACTACACCCTTTTCTAATAACTCTCTTATGGTATCATGATGTTTTTGTCGAAATAGCTCTTTATTTTACAAGAGGATCACAACATTTTAGTAATATAACCAGCGAGAAATATCCAAACGAAGTGTCCACAAACTTCTTTTTGTGCAATAGCCACTACAACTAATTGTAATTGGTAAGAAAACAATGAATATATCATGTATATGGAATTTCATTTAAGATGATCTTAAATCCATTAAGCTGATCACCACACATATTAGAAGTCTCGTCATACCATTCACTTCTAATTTTGAAAAGATAATTTATACTTCACAAAAATAACCACCAATGCCACTTTTCAAAGAATGATCGTGTCAAGAACATGTCTAACTGTATGAAATTGCTTCATCATAACTCCTAGTCATTTAAATGTCTTACAACAATTTACATATGCTCTTTGACAGAATTATTACATATCTAATCATCATAGTTTTATATCAAGAAGCGGAACACTAATTTTATCATAACCACTAATACTAAATTTCAGGGTCGGAAGCGGGAGCACTTGACCTCCGGGACCCCCTAGGTCCTCCACTGGAGTTACGTATAATAGAGGCCGGACCCTATTGATAACTATAAGCTGAGTTACATGAGTAAATTTTAAGAAAATGTGTTCTGACATTTAGCATACTAATTTTTCTAATAAAAAGCCCACAACTCTAACATCTTTTTATTTATAACATTTACTTGTATGAAGAGTTACTGTTTGGAGAAAAATCAGCATCCTCATGATCCATGAGAATCCAAGTTCTATCATCTTGTTGAACCATCCCATTATTCTTGTCAACCCACCATGAGCTTGGCACACTATACTCATCCTTCAAAGCATCCAAATGCTTGTTAACCAATGCAATATCACGTATCCCTTTCTCAATCTTAAACTGTCCTTTTGCTCCTTGGTACCCAGCAACTCCATGCAAGTAAGCTTCCAAGCTATGCCAAGTGGTAAAATCTCCCGGTACCTTTAGGTACTCCGATTTCGTCGTGTCGATGGGTAACACCTCACCGACGTCTCCGAAGCCTATAAGAGGATAATTTGGAACGATATCTAACCCGTTCCTAACGCGAAGAATATGAAGATTATCTTGTAGCTTTGATATTGCATTCTTGAAGTTTATATCTCCCACTCGTGGGCTGGCGAAGAGGAAGGCAGTCACAGGATAGGCAGAATTTCTAGCCACCCCCTTGTTTAATACGTTGATGACTATGTCAACAGCGTTTAAGGTTCCAACGGCTGCCCCCATGCTATGGCCAACTATGGTTATACTGATCTGCTCATTCTTGTACTGATTCACCAATCGAGAAATTTCGGCAAGGACCTATATATATATAGCAAATATTGTTATTTTCCTTGAAGTATTAAAATAATAAATGCATTTGTTTTCCCTTGTAATTATTTCCTTCTTTCATTTTAATAATGTTTCACTTTTGTGCAGAAACCTCAACTACAAAATTTTAAAATATTTGTCTTACGCGTACACACTAGATGGATACGGAGTATAAAATTATAATAAACCATGATATAAGTTTTTTAACTATTTCTATTATGTTGGTGTTAAAAAATGTATTGTTATTATGTTAACCTTTTAGAATGTAATGTAACCATATGTCTTAATATGATATCACAGACATATTCTTTTTTGTAGTGATATCCCTTTTGTAGAGCGAGTTTTAATGAAAATTATACACTTCAATAAAAACATCCTTAATGTGGATAAATTTATTCATTATAAAGCATGATCTTCAAGTAAATTATGAAACTAATACCTGACACAGAAAAATATTACAGACTAAATTAGAAATTAAAATCTTACTAATATATATTGAAATTAAAACTATTTTTACCTTACATATCATTAATTAAGCCGACTATCATTAAAACAAATTGAGACCCTTACGAGTTACGACAAATTACCTTATTAATTGAGTAACATCAGATATTTTAACAAATTATTAATTATCCCAATTAAGGATATTTAGGTATGATGTCATCGATCCTTTAAGCAGTCATTGTTTAAAAAAAAGAAATTGCCCTATACTTGAATAGAAGCATAATGTTTATCATTATTAGGAATAAGTATTTTATATTTGATATTAATATCTTACAACGTAATATTACTATTGACTTAGGATGTTTCTAGTTAATTTTAGACTCACACCAGATCAAATTTAAATAGGTCAAATCAAATCAAACATCAACATTTATAAAATACATATATAGACATTTACAAGATTAGATTAGATAAGTTCAAATCGGACCAGATCAAAAAAATTATAGTTCAATTAAAAACATCTTTATAATATGGAGTATAATAATAATATAATAATATAATGTCAAAATGGCACACTACTTTACTCATATTTATATGAAGAAGAGTATTCTCCTATTTAGAAAAATCATGTAGTTTGTACATCAGTACATCTATTTGGGATAACTTCATATGTTAAAAACGAATGACCCTAATTTCTCTATAATACGGAGTAAGTCATTACACAATTTCAATGATATTTAGTGGGTTTCTTCCTTTGCCGAATTTGTTTGAAGAGGACAAGATATGTATCAACAAAAGGTACTATAGCGTAAGAACTGTATGTATATTAACACAGCAAGGAATACATCGAATGTAGTTAATGGTTTCGTGCACGTTTTCATATGTTAAAGAGGATCCAAATTGTCATTCTACCCTCAGGGGTCTTCGAATGAATTGCAATCATCCAAATATTATCAAATATGATATGAGACAAATTTAATAGGATAGACGAAAAGGGTAAAATGGGACAAAGTTAGGGGTGGACGGAGTATAATTTATGGTCACTATATGTGTTCAATTTGTGCAAAAGGACTCAAATAAGACATAAATAAAAAAGTGACTAAAATTATTATGAAAAATGGTCACAACGGTATACAAATTGAACATAATGGTTGTCTCTAAAGATTACTAAATCACTTTTGTTTGTTCATAATACTTATTTTAGTCATATATCACAAATTATTTCTTAGAATATTACCACCTAATTAAGGTCATTATATTATTAATATTTAATAGGGTGATCCGGCGATTTTAAATTTATGTCAACTTTAATTTTGGTTAACAATGGGGACAAAATAGTGAGTTTTACTTCGAATTAATGCTAATTAATTAATTAATTACGAAAATAACGTTGGGTTAAAAGTATTTACCGATCTACGGTCAGGCTTTGACGGGCTTTGACGGGCATCGTCTCGTAATTAATTAATTAATTAACATTAATTCAAAAAAAAATCAAAAATAGTAATACGAAATAACCCAATTAAGTGCAAGTAAGATTATTTAAAATTGTTATATAGGATAAGAACAAAATTAAAACCTTATTCTTAATTATTTTTATGAAAGTGATGAGTTTCTTCATTGTAAAACATTAATTATTGGGTGGCGGTGCAATTTAATTAATATTTTGTACTACACTATTAAAAATTGGTCAGGGGTAATTAATATACCTGGTCCCTTGCACTGATGTTAGTTAAGGGAGATTTTGGATCATCGGAAGCGTAAATGGAATACCATCCAAGATGAACCTTAGGATGATCGGCGGCGGCGGCGCTGTCCCCGAATATCTTCGGCGCCTCCACAAAGGCAAACTCAAAATCATTAACCCATTCCAAACTCCGAACCGTCCCTCTCCAAGCAACGACTATGTCCCTCCTCCCTAACGCCGCCGCCCCCTCGTCCGTCGCCACCGCCACATACCCGATCCAATTCGACTCTCTGTTCCACTCCGATTTCACGATAAAAGCGTCGGGGACCGGAATAGAAGACGTCGCATGAACGTATTTGGTGACGGAATACTTAAACGGATTCCCCTTCTCCAGCCCGACCATTTCGAACATGCTCTGTTTTGAGTACCGCCAGCTTCCGGTGAACTTCGACGCCTTCTGGCGGTTGAAGTTGTCGTAGGTTGCCTGGGCCATTTCTCCGTAATGGATTATGTATCGCCGGAGGTCGTCATCCAGAGGATCTAATAGCCCTTCCCATTTGTTTTTTCCGCTCAGAAGTGTCCATTTTCCGGCTATGCTGCTCTGCTCAATCTTATTGTTCTGCACCTTTTTCGTTTCATCTTCTTCCTTCTCCTTCCTTTTGGAGAAGAACTTGTAGTTATTATTGATCATCTTTTTTATGGCGCTCATGAATTGTAACCCGCCCATGCTTGATGATCACGGATCAGATCAGCTGTTGATCTGGACTGTTTGGATTGTTTCTCATATGCTTCACTGTTTCATTTATTTATACGCAATAAATGGAAATAAATAGATTTGGTAGTATTAAAAAGTAGTTGTAGTATTAGATATTACTCCGTACTAGATAGTAGTATTATGTCGTGAATTGAATTGCAAACTTTGATTGAATTAATAAATAATTAATGATATATGAATTAATGAATGATAATAAATAATGTTTGCTTTTTACACTTTCGTTCATCGGAGAAAAGATGCATTTATGTTAATGGAAAAAAGAAAAAATAAGGGTAAATTTGTCACTTTATTCTTATTTACATATCTAAAATAAAAAGTGGAAAAACATTTTGACACAATCAAAATAGGAAATTTTGCAAATCAAATTGGGATGTAAGGAGTATGATACTTCATCCGTCTCATTTAAAGGTTTTTGTCCTTTATTCTCCGATTAACGTGAATTGTTGTTATTCTTTTACTTTATATATCCAATTTTATCAAATTTAATTTTTCTTGATCAGACATTATAACATTTTGAATGCAGATTCTGAATATGTAAACTTTATTTACTAGAAATAATCTTATTAATGACATGGTCCCGTTAACTTTATGATCAGTCAAAAATCGTATACCGATTGGGAACCTTCGAGTGGGATGGAAAGAGTAATATTTATTGCTATTATTGACGTTATTTTTAAATCATACGACTAACGGTTTGTCTTTCGAAAAGAAAAACATAATAATTTTATTTTGAAATTTGAGAACATTTTATTTAACGATTATTTCCGTTCATAAAATTCAAATTTGGAACTGAACATCCTATTTTTATACGGGTTGTTTGTCGCAATATGGGCACCCTTATCAGTTTACGTGTTTAAACTTGGCTGAGGGAATGAACAATTGAACACAGTTGTAAAAGTGCAATAATGGACATACCTTACCCCTTTCGGCACGTGAGTTCGGTAAGGCATTATGTTCCCTCGTCTCCTGACTCTTGCCTTAAAAGGATGTGAATCATGTGATTGCGTTCGGTTTAGGTCCGGGATGGGTTCCATTCTCGTTAAAATTCGATGGAATCGTATAAAAATTGTAGGTGTTAAATTTGGTTCGATTCTAATTAAAAATGTAGTTGTTGAATTTGGTTCGGTTCTAGTTAAATTCGGCTCGGTTCTTACCTTTTTCGGTTCCTAATAAAAATTTATTATCTCCTCAAATAAACACATTTTACCTTCAGTTGCATAAAAAATTCAAATTTTAAATCATGAAATTATGATCATTACATTATATATGCATGATATCTCAATGTTCAAATATAAAAAAAATGCAAGTACAACATTAAATTTAAACATAACAAAAATCTCAGTTTAAAATAAGCATCAACTGTCAAACAAAAAAGGTTCAATAGATCCAAAGTATACATCTAATAGCAAGTAATTCAACCCCAAAATAATATTCTTCTACTCGTAATGCACAATGAGTAAAAATTAAGTAGAAATAAACAACATAATCAACACAATATTAATTCCTTTTGAGGTGAACTCCAATAACAAATACAATTACAAACAAAGTGAGCTAAAGTATTAAAATAATAACTACTCGGATTGCCTGGTCCACAATATATAAGGTACATTATGCAAAACAAATATTTTTTACAAGATTTTTCTGCCCGGGACGCCGTCTAGCCACCTCCATTTGAGGTGCTTCCGTAGAGAATTTTTCGATAAAATTTTGTGAGCGTGTTCTACATGAAATGTAGATTTTATGTACCAAATTTTATCTCAAAATTAAATCGGGAAGTGAGTTAAATAAAAGATTGAAAAACATTGTGTTTTTTTTTATATATCACTACAAGAATTTTGACATAATGTGACAATTTTTTTCGTCATGTAAAATTCATTTTTTGTCACAAAAACTTTTATATGACGAATTCTGAGCGTCACAGTGTTCGTCATCGTAGCTCCGTGGTATTAGATATATGTGACAAATTTTTGATTTGTCACCAAATTAATAACATTTAATGACGTTTTAAAACTTCGTCACCAATATTAATCACTTTTCATGACGCCAAATGTGTCACCTTTATATTGATTTTTTGTCATCTAAATATGTATTTTGTCACCAATAATAACATTTAATGACGTTTTAAAACTTCGTCACCATTATTAATCACTTTTAATGACACCAAATGTGTCACCCTTATATCGATTTTTTTGTCACCTAAATTTGTATCTTGTCCCAATAACTCACAATAAATGACAAAATCTTAAATTGTGAACAAAACAAAACTTTTGGTGACGATTCACATTGTATAACTTAATATAATATCGTTACATTTTATAAATTTTGGTGACATTTCACATCATATAACTTAATATAATAATGATACCTTTATATAATTGAAAAAATAATTAGCTGACAAATTAAAGAGAACTATTTTTATTAACAAATCAAATTGCTATAAGAGTATTCAAACACATTAATATCAATCAAATACACAAGGGAACCGTGTAATCTATTTTCTTAATACCAACAAAATATACAATAGAATTGTACAATCTTATTTTCTACGACGTAACTACAACTCAACATGATACCATCATGCCTCATCTTACTAACTTGAATGACATATGTAATTCAAAATAGTAGCAGCACCAAAATCTCGAATCTTTGGGCCTCTGGCTTTAGGTGCATCTAGATTCACCATCAGTATGCTTGCTCAATTAGGATTAAGAGACACCTAAATATTATGAGTACACAAACAATTAATAATGAAAATGTAAATTTCACATTCACGTAATTAATAATCTAGTAGGAGAAGAGAGTGAGACAAGAGGATCCATAATATATTATAGGCAAGTTCAAATCTTGGTACCATTCGCTCACCTAGGCTGAATAGCATAAATAAAAAACCATGAGAAACCATAGTAAATAATTATGCATCAGGAGAAACAATTGCTAATTATATCAACCCTAGAAGAGAATCCATATGGTGTCAATTTCATAGACATTGAATTACTTGAACAGAAGATAGCTTTACATTTCCTATGATCATCAAATGGAGAAGAAAAACATATAAGCATTAGAGAAGTACTAAGAAGATTTAGAGGTTGCCCATGAAACTTAGGTGACTTAAAATAAATGGACTTAATACCACCTTGGTTAACCTTACAAATTGCAAATGATCTCTGCTCCAACAAGAATGGGAAATTAAATAAACATTCAAGCACACAAATATATAAAACTCATTCCTAATGAATTGTATTCATAAGCTACAACCTTCAATAAAAAACCGTTGTCCAAGCTACTGCCCATCATAAACTCATAACAATACTAAATTATTAACATGAAGGTCCAAGGCTCTAAGATTCTAAGCTATTGTCCAATTTAAAATTGAAAGAATCCAACCTCCAAAAGTAATTTAACCTCACTTGAAGAAATCATAAGTATCAAACTATCAACTTATCAAACCTTGCTACTCAAAGCCTCAAGCAGTATAAAATTTTGAACTAAAATTTTAACTACGTATAATCAAAATCAGAGAATTTTGAACTAAAATCTGATTGAAAATATTGAGGAAAAACAACAGAATAATTAGATTAATAACTTTAAAAACCCGACCAACGGCCGCTTCGTCGACGGAAGATGTTCGCCGCCTCTGGCCTCTGCATCGACGGAAGATGTTCGCCGCCTCTGGCATCTGCATCGACGGAAGATGTTCGCCGCCTCTGGCATCTGCATCGACGACCTTATTCGGTCGTCCTCTATGGCCTGCGCGTCAAAGGTGAAAGGTGGATGCGCAGTTCGCAGTCTTAGCACTTTGCAATCTTCGCACTTCGACTGGTTTAGGTCTAGAATGGAAGGTGAAGCCGTTAGGGTGAAAGGCGGATGGCAGAGTCGTGGACTTTCAACTTTTTAAGTAATACTCCGTAATAATTAATTAAAATAATAAAATGAGAACACATTGTTGTTATCCATTAATATTTAGTTTTCATTTAAAAAAATTGCTCTGATTTTTCTTAAAAAATAATTTGTAAAAAAATAAACTATGACACATTTACATTTATTGTCATCAAAAGGGAGCATAAATGACAAAATGATTTTGTCATGATTTTACCACATAATTAATGACAAAATATGATTTTGTCATAATAATTAAAAATTACGTGACAAAATTTATCGTCATTGATTGTTTCTAAATTGTCATAAACAAATTCCAGTCAGATTTTTGGCATCAAATTTTGGCGCTAAAAATTTAAGTGACAAATTTGATACTATTGTCACAAAATATATCAATTAATGACGAAATGTAAGAGTTAAAGTGACAGAAAATAATATTGTCATAATAAATCATTTTATAGTGACGAATTTTTGTTTTGTCACTATTCCTCAATATAATGTGACAATTTTTTGTGCGTCACACAAATTTTTGTCATAAAATGTGAGATTTCTTGTAGTGTATTTTGGCGTAATGCATTTCAATATTTATTTAACTGACTTCCCTGTTACATTTTAAGCTCTAATTTTGTGGACATAATCATTATTTCATGAACAACAAGCTCACAAAATTTCATCAAAAAATTCCACCCAGAAGCACCTCAAATGAAGATTACTCATGCAATGTATAAGAAGTTCGGTTTCTGACTAGGAACCGGAACCGAACTGGAACCGAACCGGTTAACTACTATAGGAACCGAACTGAAAAAAACTGAAGTCCAAAATTATAGGAACCGAACCGGAAATTTCGATTCGGTTCGGATTGGTTTTCCCGGTTTTACGGTTCCAAGTCCCAGCCCTAGTTCGGTTGTTTATGTACTAGAGTTTTTTCCAAAATAAAGCGTACTAAAAAAAATATTTACGAAATTGCAGTCCGGTTAAAACTTTTTACCAATATACTTGTGGTTGAGCAAAGTCGCCCAAAGAAATAGCGACTTACAAACTCCAACATGCTCGAAGTAGTATGTACAACCAACAAGGCAGCCATGGAAAAACAGTACATGGGGCTCATGGGTATAAAATCCCATTTTTATTTAAAGCTCTATAACTTTTTATTTTTTACTTCAATTTTTATAAAAAATA